TGCTGCTGCTGTTGCTGCTGCTGCTGCTGCTGCTGCTGCTGGGCTGCAAAGGCAGCAACAGGGTCCTGCGGCTGCTGCGTATAAGGAGCCGTCTTATTGCTGCATCTTCTTTTCTCCCAAGCAGCAGCAAGAGAAGCAGCAGCAGCAGCAGCAGCAGCAGGCGAATCTACAGCAGCAGCAGCAGCCTCGTCCACATCAGCAGCAGCAGCAGCAGCAGCAGCAGCAGCAGCATCTCTTTGTGAGGCCTCATCTGAGCTTGACAAGGCGCTGAGGAGCCGCTGAATCTCAACAGATGATTTTAGGGTACTGAGGGGCCCCCTGGGGGGCCCCCTGGGGGCCCCCGTGGGGGCCCCCCTGGGGGCCCCCCTTGGGGGCCCCCGTAGAGCAGCAAGGGGCCCCTTGGTTCTGTCTAGAGGCAGCCGACGCAGGAAAGATTGAATGTTGAGTTTGCTGCTGCCGTTGCTGCTGCTGTTCCTGCTGCTGTTGGTGCTGCTGCTGCTGTTGTGGTTGCTGCTGCTGTTGCTGCTTGTGCTGTGGGTTCTCCTTAATAGGCACCTTCTGCTGCTGCTGCGGCTGCTGCTGGTCCTGCTGCCGTTGCTGCTGTCGCTGCTGCTGCTGCTATTGCGGATGCTGCTGTTATTGCTGCTGTTGCTGCTGCTGCTGCTGCTGCTGCTCTGAACTGTTCTTGCCGGAGGCATCATGCTGCTGCTGCTTGCTCTGCGATTGATGCTGCTGTAGCTGCTGCTTCTGCTGCTGCCAATTGCTTCAGGTCTGCTGCTGCTGCTGCTGCTGCTGCTGCTGCTATGGACGCCCTGCTGCTCAGCAGCAACAAGATACTCCTGCTCGTCTGCTGCTGCTGCACCTACTTCTGCTGCTGCTGCACCTGCTTCTGCTGCTGCAGCGCCTGTTTCTGCTGCTGCAGCACCTGCTACTGCTGCTGCTGCACCTGCTTCTGCTGCTGCTGCTGCTGCTGCTGCCAGCCTTACAGACCCTCTACCAGCAGCAGCAGACGGCCACGTATTGAAGGAGGGAGCAGCTTTTGTGCTAGGCGTCTGCAGCAGCTCCTGCTGCTGCAGCTGCTGCCTGAACTGCTGCTGCTGCTGCTGTTGCTGCTGCTGCTGCTGCTGTCTGGAGGAGCGGCGAGCAGCAGCAGCAGCAGCAGGAGCAGCAGCAGTGTGCAAGGGCTCCGAAGCATTCTCTGCATGCGCCGGTGTTCCCTTATCATTAGCTGCAGCAGCAACAGCAGCAACACGATCAGTCGCAGCAGCAGCAGGAACAGCAGAAGCAGCAGCAGGAGCAGCAGCAGCAGCAGCAGCAGCAGCAGGAGCAGCAGCAGCAGCAGACTCAGGAGAGTTGAGCGAAGCAAAGGGGCAGTGGGGGAAGGCCGCCCGCAGCGCAGCAATAAGACTCCTCCTCCTGGCAGCTTTCTGCTCGTTTGCTGCAGCCTCAGCAGCAGCAGCAGCAGCTGCTGCTGCTGCTGCTGCTGCTTCTGTTGCTGCTGCTGCTGGACCTGCAGCAGTAGCAACATCTCGCTCGGGTTCTGCTGCTGCTGCCTTTGGGCTTGCTGTCGCTGATTCCGATGCTGCTGCTGCTGCCCCTGTTGCAGTTCCTGCTGCTCCTGCTGCTGCTGCTTCTGGTGCATCTGCTGCTGCATCTGCTGCTGCATCTGCTGCTGCTGCGCCTGGTGCTGCTGTATCTGCTGCTGCTGCATCTGCTGCTGCTGCATCTGCTGCTGTTTGAGCTGGTGTATTGTTTGCCTCCTCATTGAGGGTGGCTGCTTGTCCTGTTTCTCCTGCTGCTTCGTCTGCTGCTGCTGCTGTTGCTGCTGCTGCTGTTGCTGCTGCTGTTGCTGCTGGCAACTGACTAGATTCCTCCTCACCGCACGGGTCGGTTGCTCGCTTTGCTGCTGCTTCTGCTGTTGCTGCTGCTGCTGCTGCTGCTGTTGTTGTTGCATGCTTTTGTGGAGGAGCT